AGCCTAAATGACAGCAGGGCCAATTTAGAGCCACATAATTCGTGGAAAAAAATAAGTACTAATCAAAAACTCCATTTACGACAAAAATATGCAATTGCAGTCTAGTTATGTATTAACTGTGCGCCCGCCCCTTGCCGCACGTGTATGACCACAAACCCCCACGCCGGCAATTAACTTCAGCTGTGTATTTAGTTCGGTAGTTAGATAAAGGACTTTTAGATCATATTATCTAACCTCTCGAACTGCAGTCTTTTTTCCCCAGAATGTTGCATCATGTCTGTTATTATTACTAACAGATGGGACTTATTTGGTTGGCCCGTCACAAATATTTCGACTTTCTTTTCTAGCCGTCTGTTTACAAGTATGTAGACGCTATATCTGTGTGCGGGCGTGCGTGTGTGCGTATGTATGTATGTATGTATGTGCATGTAAAAGGACTTATTCTCACAATTTTTCTTCTCTTTATCGGTCTACTCATTGGTTTATTTTTTCTCGTCGGCTCTTTGGTTACGTAAAAATCTGCTTTGTTTATAAATGGGCACTTTGAGAGAAATCGTATTGTCGTTATGAATAGCTCTTTTGTAAAAAAGAAACAGCACAATTTGATTGCAATAAAAGAAAAAACACCCCAACACAATGCACCCGTCCCCAACCGCACCTGCAGCCTCGTGGGGCACTGAACGAATTAACTCCTTGGTAATTGTGGATGAGAACACGAAAAGATTACCCGTGTCATCCTTAATTTCCGGGCCGTGTTATTACATATATAACCGTATCGAAACGGGACACAAACCACATGTACCGTTGTTAACGACACTGTGGTTCAGAAGATACGAGGTAAGTACCCAGGATTCTGCCTTTGGAGAAAAACTCATGTGTTTCCACGCTGCATTTTTGACAACGATTTCGGACACAGTGAAGCAAGTACAAAATTCTTATTTGTTGTTGTTATTATTATTGTTGTAGACTGAGTATTCCGAATTCAAGAAAAAAAGCAGCGAGTTTCGTTTGTTTCGAGTTGTTTTCTGTGGTGCTAATATAGTGTATAATATAGCGTATCTCCTCTTTTCAAATGTGGTCACAGTGGTTTTCGACCTGTGTGAGATTTTTTTAACGAGAGGTCACGACTGAAAACCTAAAAAGGCGTGCCTGTAAGTGCTTATGGACAAATTGCTTGAAATACGTGGTCAAGATAGATAATGTACACTGGTAGTTTAAAGGCCTTTTCATTAAAAAATCAACTATGTGAAATAATATATTCTATTATGCCAGAGTAAATTGGTCGAAGAAGTAGTGCAAATATTGTTTTATAAGATATAAACTTGCAGACAGAAGGAGAAGGGCATACGTTTTTATTGACTCTTTAGAAACGCAAACTTAAAACTTATTTAGGTAAAGAAAATGTATGCAAGCCTGATTTGGCAAATTCAGTTTTTTTTTTAATAGACACGAAGTGTTAAAAACGTGTTCATGACATTTTTAACACTTGTTTCCGTAACTTACTCAATCCCTAGAACCAGTTTAAAAAAAGCTTGGTCCCAAGTATTTTTGATTATGTAATATTTTCTGTTTTAAAATCTGCAACAAATTTCGTAACTGCGGACAGCTTGGATCTCTGCAAACGCGTGTATAACATTGTAAACAGCCTTAAGTATTGAAACTTAGTATGAATTTATAGCCGTATTTTTCTTATCATATTGTCCTAATTGTTTACATCTTATATTCACCGTAAATTTGGACATTAGTGAAATTTCTACTGCAAAAGAATATGTAATTAAAACAGAGCATCTAAATAGCATATCAGTTAAGATCTCTAAATTAAACTGCTTATGTCCTTTATCATTCGGGATTTCATTTCTTACAAGTTCTAAGATTTATTCGGAAACTCTGAAATTTTTATAAAATTCCGTTCGTAAAACATATCTCTATCAAAAAATCCAAATGTTATACCCAATATGACGCCACATTTTCGGTTTTATTCAACACATATGCTTAAGAACTACATCTTTTTACCCCAGGTGATTTTGACAAATTTTTTTCAAATACATATCAATGTATTTTAATAATACAGCAGAATAAAATAAATAACAAAGAAAATAGCTGAAAACAGCAGAATACTGATACAGAAATTGATCAGGTCAAACAGATACAGTAATTCCAATATGCCTTTTTATCATTTTAAATTTCCGTGTCGGTCCTAAATTCTTATCTCTACCGGCATTGTGCCGTTTGTTCCAGAGCGGACAAGTCATCACATACATTTATCACCATAGGGTTTTCTGTAACTGGTCCGGGGGGAGAGGGGGGGGCACGTACTTCTGACCCCCCCCCCTTTCACCCCCTTCTCACTCTCCCCAAATATTAACTAAGAAAGATCAGATCAGTTTAACAATAAGTCATATGGCATAACTGTCGTCTTTGTAAAAACTTATCATGTTCTGTGGGTTTTATAGCATACTTTATAGTTAAGTATATACATGAAATATTATCCTATATCATTACGCTACTCATGTACATGTACTTGTTTCGTCGTGGCCTTTATAAAATATGTGTCTTACATATTAAAGAAGAGATGTTTTTTATTATCTACTGCTCTTTTAAATACCGAGCTGAGCAAGACAAAAAGGAAAGAAAATCACCGTTGCCCACCGCTGAGGGAAATCCCGGTTAAGTCAGTGTAAGGTTCGTTGTTAATCAATATAAGGAACTAACTGCTATTTCTTTACTTTTAAAAATTATCGAACTTACAAATTAACGATCAAACATGTTTACTGGTGATGTGTTTGTGTGTTTCCTTTTTGCGCTGGGTGTTTCAAAGTTACTTTCAGAAGCGGTATCATTGGCCTGATTCGTAAGCCTCAGTCACCAACTGCAGTCTGACATTAAGCGAAACAAAAGATCTTGATGGTGGATACCTTGCTGAATTTTGTTACACAAAAAGCAATAACACAATTAGATGAACATTTTGATGACTAGAAATCCCTAAAATTTCTGTTTTACCTTATATTTTCATTGTATTTCAGCGTCAATTTCAACAGCAGCATCATAACTACCCTGTAAAGCAGTCACCATGAAATTGTCTGCATTGTTGTTAATCGCTATGGCCACGGTGGTAGCAGTAAGTACATTTCATACTCAATTTATCATCATACAAATATTTTAAAATCTATCTTGCTACCCGCATTTTTGTTTTCGAGGTTCATCACGGCACAAAACAGGTTTATCATTATTTCAAATTTTTGAAAATCACTGGTGGTTCCTGTTTACATTATAAAACCTGAATAATATACTACAGAAAAAAATGCGTGTCACGAGCTTCCGACGTGTGTTGATTAATTTCAAACTAGACACAGTAGTGTCCGAAACAGATAAAACATGTGACAACTGAAAAAATCCTACAGATATAAATACAGGGTCCAGTAAGGTTTAGGATTAGTTAGAAATACAGTTTAGGATTAGTTAGAAATACAAGTGACGAATACCACTTGTTCAAAGAAATGGTAAATGTACCACGGTTCCTAGCAATGGACAACGTTTCCTAACGGACCGCCATTACCATCACCGGTTATTATAAAGTGAACAAATGGCAATTCTTCTTCAAACCCTCACTTCACACAAAACAATTACCAACCATCAACAGTTAGATATACAGCACACACGATGGAAAAGAGAGGAAATTGCCAGCCTTGTTTTAGGGGAATAGTAACAATAAAGCCCGTAATTATTTTCGTATTAGTGGGTAGACCTCGTTGCTCCCGGTGTAGGATATCAGGCGTCAGAAATGAGTTTGATTGATTTTGGTGTAATTACTCAACGTTTGACCTACTTAGTTCCGCAATAAGACTATTTCCCCAAGAACATAATTTCATATAATCAGACATTACATGCACGTATAATGCAGTTACAAGTCAGGGCTCGGAATTGGAGAGGCAGATTAATTCTGTGGTTAATGATGTAAAAGGTTTGGCTTGTTCGTATCCGGCGTTACGCTATTTAACCTACAATATTATTTCACATTTAACTACCATATTATTTTACCAAAGTGTTTTTATGCCTTAGTAATCTTTGATACGCTATGGGAGTTGAGCAGTCTCAGATAATTATTTTAGCGTTTGATCAGACGAGATGAGTGTGGTATTCTAATATTTCAGTGTCAGCCAGGAGTTAACGACGACCATAAAAATATCTGTCTATGATAGAATTGGCGGACAATCCACTGATCAGTGTAGTTTGTCTCTATCTAGCCGACCTGAATGTGTAAGAATCTTTACCGCGCACCAGACTGGGGAATGCACCGTGTTCATCAGTCTGATTATTTGATGAAGCCAACTGACATGATTCAAACTATTTTAGTGTATATCAGCCAAGAATGTGAACCAACTGTGTCTGCAAATTAACGCTCGGCGTCACCAAAAGAGCTTCTACTCCCGAGTAGGATATTAATTATGCAATTTATGCCAATTCGATGATATATTGCTGCTCGTTTACTAAGTCAACAGTATAATTGTCAAAAACACATTTCCGCCAGTTATTTAGAAGTGATACGAAGCAAGCATTAGAAACATCCGTGGTGTCTCCATAAAGACGTCTGGACTTGTTTTTTGTTCTTTTATCCAGAAACTTAATTCGCCGACAATGGGTATGTGAAAGAAATGAACTTGTAAGCTTGGATTATTGGGTAAACAGGTTGCACACTCTGTAATAATGATAATAATAATAGTAATAATAATAATAATAATAATAATAATAATAATAATAAGAGTCTAGAAACCATATATGTTCAGTGGACTTTACAATGTTACAAGTTATAGAAAAGGGGGGAGTGACAGTAGAGGGGCGTTTTCACGTTTAGTACCGCCGTGCAGCATGTGATGTCTTGGTAGTCAACATCACGCTGCATGTGGTTTGTTCACACAACCTGCAAACACATCCAAACAATATTTCTTGCATATATTTTTGTCAGCGTATTAAGGCGCGCAACTACAATTTGCTGTTGTTGAATTTAGTTGAAAGGTTCAGATCTAATACTTGTATTTCACTGGCATTCTAGGAGCGGTGGGTTGTTGAAGCTAGAAGATACAAAACTTACAGTAGGTGCTGTTCGTGGCGTGTACGTGTGTGTGTGTATGTGTGTGTGTGCGTGTGTGTGCTTGCGAATGTGTGTGCAAAATGGATGTAAGTGCTTGCGGCTGTTAGGAAAGATGACAGCGTGTGCGAGTGTCTTTAGTATTGGAAGTGTTCCACAATTACTAATATCAAACCATTCAATAAGTCCATCATAAAAATAATTTAATATTTTTCATGTTCATGTAGTTTCTTTGATTTGACATAACACTTCCTTTTGTATACCAAGCGTATCAATTATTTCACTATATTTGACTCATTGCTTCTATAATAGTCTTTAAATTTTGTGTGGGTTTATTATTATTATTATTATTATTATTATTATTATTATTATTATTGTGCCATCTCCTATCTTTCAGTTTGCGGTCAGCCGGCTGATATCGTCTTCGTTATAGACGGGTCCAGAAGCATTTGGCCCGTGGATTTCAAGGAAAGGATGATTGGGTTTCTGAAGAGCTTCATCAAGGTATATGTTACTTTGTTGTGTTGTATTTTACTTAATTTTTACAGAGAGTTCTTTGCTGCATGTAGGTACAAATAAGATAGGAGTCCTTCCGATCTTTTAAAAACAATGAATAATATCCTCTGCTCGCTCCTAGCTTCATTAGGTATATTTACGTGAAAAACAAACGTTTCCTAATACGATTCCACCTATGGCTGCTAAAATACAATACCATTGCCAATGATTGATTTTTATATTTATATTTAAAGCCTCAGAATACAAACAATGCTCATTTGACGGTTCCAAGGTCATTTTTGTTTTATTTCGTGAAAATAGCGCCCACTTTTAAAATTCTGAGAGAATATGAATGGAAATTTAACCATGGTGGCACAAATCCACGCAGTTTATGTCACTGTAGTTTTTGATGGGTTGGATTGCAGGAATTCAATATCCAAGACGATGGATCGGGAACACGTATCGGAGCCATGGTATTCAGTTCGGACACGCCTTACCAAACCAAAATAGAGTTCAACTTGAAAGACCACTTTAGTCGCGAAGCACTTAACAAAGCCATAGATAAGATCCAGCAAACCAAGGGGCAGACCAGAACCGATATAGCCTTGCAGATAGTAAGTATTAGAACATTTCTCTTTATGGGATGGGATGCATATAATAGGACTTCCATTGGCAAGATGGCAGTTTCAGGTAACGCCAGATTGTTCCGTATATTATGGACACGCTTGGGTCACCTTGTGGTAGATTTGTGAGAGGTCGGTGCCATATTATTCGCAAAAGTGGCTTAAACTTGGTAAATATATATGGTTTTGGCTACCTTATTTGCCAACTTTAACTCTAAGCGCGCATTCAGTTTTTACCTATTTATTTGAGCATGGTGTAGTTATTTTTTAATTTTCATTATAGTAATGATAACAAAGCTGTCAGTGTGATTGTATTATTATATTTAAACGGTTTTAAAACAGAGGGTTAAATTATGCAAGTGATAGGGCAAAGATTTATATCCAATACATAGATTTTTTATACTCTAGCAAAGACTCAAGTTTTATTTTACGTGAACACAAATATAACTGTCTTTCTATACGACAGGTTCGTGAACAAATGTTCACCAGAGAGAACGGCGCCCGTATCGGCGAGGTCCCTCAGATAGCCATAGTTCTCACCGACGGTAATTCCGACTTCGAAGAGAAGACGGCGAAGCAAGCAGCGCTGACAAAAGCAAAGGGAATCAAAGTTTTTGCCATTGGGATTGGAAAGGTATTGTTAGTCCATTTTTATCTACCTAAACGCAATACATTATTTTTGTGTAGCTGCACCAGTAGAATGGAATAAGTTACCAATTTTTATTAGTCGAATAGAATCACAAGAATCTTTTAAAAAGGAATTGAAAACTCACATATTTTATTCATGAATTTTAAATTTTACATTAAAGAAACCTTGGATTTTTTACTTTTTTAAAAGTAAGTAATTAAAATTACTGTTTATTACAATTTAGTCTAGCTCTGATTTATATAATATTAA